TGGCTGAAAGCCCCGGGATAAAATCAAATAAGATGCCCTTGAGTTAAAATGTTTAATTTATTTTTTTGGAAAACTCCTTTTTTCATGGTCAACAGTTTGTAACTACGTGTATGTTTTGTTCATGAGTATAAACGTTAGTAAATGCTTTATAACGTGTGTATCAGTAAATATGATGACAGTTCATTAAGTGTTTATACAGCAGTTACAGATGTTTATAAGCATTGTTGTAGTCTTAGTCAGAGTTATAACTGTTGACAAATGCATTGATAGAAATGTCCTTCTAACTGATTACAACTATACATTAAAGTGTATTATTAAAGGTCCATATACATTCATGCTAAATAGAGGACTAAAGTGTTGGCAAAACTTTCATGGTGAATAAAATCATAGTCGATCTTTGGAAAGGAAGCAACTGTGTCAAAACTTTCAAAGTGAAACCTCGTCTTGAGGTGGACAGTGTGAAACTTTAACATTGTGTTACAGACTTTTCTTAGCCTTGGTTGTAACAACATCCCCCACAAAGTGATCTGCACGTCAAGTTCACGTTGAAATGTAACGTATTACAGCACTGTGCAGGCCAATTATTCTAGAAATAAAAATGTCATTACACGTACATTTAAAAAAAAAAAAAAAGCATTTTATGCAGTGAGTTTAATGCAGATGTGTGACTTATATTTTAGAGCTGTGACAATGACACATAGAAGCGCAAACAGCTAAGGAGTTGACTGGGTTATATTCAGAGAAGAAAACCTGATGAAGTTTGAGAGGAAATAGAAATGCTCCTCTATGATGTTGCCTCTTTTTTCCCGAGACAAACGTCTAAAAGATACAAAACACAATCTTTCTGAAGTGTAATAAGAGACGCTTTCAAAGAACTTTTATTTCAGGACTTGTTCAGGGACCAACATCCAGACACGTCATCGGCATGATACTAACATGTGATTCTCTATATTTTGATGAGCAATGAAGATGTTTTTTAATCCTTCCTGAACGTCTGAGATGACGACTGTAGATTTTTTGGGGAGTTTACTAACCAGCCAGTTTCCTCCAGTGCTCCTCTAAGCCATTCATCCTCTCTCGGCTCACCGGCGTGACCTCTCGGGGATCCACACAAACCCACACAAAAAGATCACATGTGCGATGGTACTTGGGAACACGTGAGTCCTCCACGTGCCCAGATGTTTAAATGCTCTTGAAGTTTGGGAAGATATTTCACAGAGGTTCGTTCCCCCCCTTTACTAAAAGTAAGTCTTCATTGCAACAGAGTGATTTGCACCGACATGGTTGTAGGATTTTATAGGATTTGATTTTTAGGATTGTGAATAATCCAGCAGGGTGTGTATTTTATAAAGAGGTTTGACAGCCGGTGGCTCCGTATTCTGCCACATGGACGAATAACACATTCCACTTTTTGAATAAATGCACTCCTGCTGCTTATTTGACCACCAGACAGGAGAGAGCCATGGAGGTTTGTTTAGTCACTGTGATCTTCTGACTTTGTGCATACCGTTGGACAGCTTGTCCTTTTTAGCAGCATTTAATCAATATAATTCCCTGACCATCTGTCAAGGACAACAGCGCTTTGATGGGATGGTCAGTCCGACATTAGACCACACTCTGCACATGCCACTGCTCTGGCCCTTTTCATCCCATAACAATATGAACCCATCAGTACTGTTCCAAAAAATTAAACACATTAAAAAATAATAATTGCTGGAGATTTAACATTATCTCGAGTTATGTCTGAATGAAACAAAACTCCTGTTGAAATGAATATTTCTTATTAAAATATTGTACGTTTTCTCATACATGACCAAAATGTACATTTCTTTAAGTCTCGTAGTCATCACGTTCAAACGACTGAAATAACATGCCCATATCAGACTACGTGACTGGGATTCATTTCTTAAGTAACTGTAATAGATTACAAACTATATTTTGTGATAATGTTTGTGAAGTTCAAAGGAAAAAGAGTTTCCTGCTTAAAAGTGACAGGTGTATGAAATTTTGACTGGCCCTTGAAAATGTAAAAGCAATAGTGTCACATTGTTTGAATGAGAGAAAAGAAAGATGTATATGTATTTTAACTGGATGCATTTTACTATGAAAATCCTGCCCTAAAACCTACAACAAATACATTATTTTCTTGCATATTTTCATCATAACCAATCACCAACTCCCTTCATCATCTCTCCTGATTGGATCCTGCTTCTCATGACGTTGCTTCTATGTAATTAAAGAAGAAGGGGGGGAGAGAGAGAGGGAGAGAGACCTCCAGTCTTTGATCATGAAGGCAGGGAACATCCAACTACTTAATCTACAGAAAACTTATTTTGACCTTCAACATCTCTCTCTCTCTCTCTCTCTCTCTCTCTCTCTCTCTCTCTCTCTCT